GAGGTTTGGGCTGATCTGTGGTGGTTTGGGGGGGGGTGTAGTGTGTGCAGTGGTGTTGGTGTGGTGATTTGTTGGCACTGGCTTTGTTGTTGGTAGTGTTGTAGTGTTATAGCGGTGGTCATGAGTTAAAATGGTTGCAAGTGGATGTAGTGGCAGTGGTGGACGTTCTGGTGATTTTGGTTTCCTGTGACTAAAAATATAATCCGTGAACTTAAAATTTTATAATCTGTGACTAAAAATATAATCCGTGACCAACTATTTTTTTATTTGTGACCTAAAAATTATATAATCCGTGACCGTAAAAAAATCTGTGACCAATTAATTTGAAAATCTGTGACTGTGTGACCTATAAATTTTGATATGTGATCAACTAATTTTGAAATCTGTGACTAACGAATTAATTGTGACCTATAAAATTTTTGAACTATGACCGTAAATTGTAAATCTGTGACCGGAATATTTATCGGAATCGGAACAGTCGCAGGAGAAGAGTGGTGGTCGGAATGGTCGCCGGAATAGTCCCCGGAGCGGTATGAGTGGTGCATGTGGGATTTCGGAATAGTCGCCGAAGAAGAGTGGGGAACGGAATAGTCGTCGGAATAGTCTCCGGAGCGGTAAGTGTGGTGCATGTGGGATGAATTAATTATATTATATATTTAATAATAAATTGATTTAATAATTTATTATTTCATAAATAAAAAAATAAAAATAAACCTGATTTTTGAATTTTCAAACTATAAATCTGATTTTTGAATTGATGTAAAATATACACCTTGTTTATGAAATTTTTCCAAAGTTAATTTGGTTCAAATCAATTAACTGGACCATAGAAAATAGAGGCATAAATTAGTGATGTTGCTCCTTAATCTGCTTGGTGCACGCCATCCATGCTTCTTTAGTCAATCTCTCAATTGTTTCAACTTCTTGAGAAAAGGTATGTCTCATTGGAAAAGACACCATCATTTAATGAAATATGTTTTCCAAAATTTTATAATGATCGATAAATGGCTACAACATCTCTAGGGATAATATTAATGTCTTTAGCGTGAGTAACCATCTTTGTCATCTTGGCTTTAACATTATAGTTTTGTCTATATGTCATCTTGTCATCGACATTAGGTTAAATCTTACATTGTCATCGACAGTATAAGTGTCGTTATTATAATGAAAATTAATTGCCAGTGATTACAGAGTTATTGCCTTATTTAGATGTACAGTAAAGATCAGTTTAATCACAAGAGTGATATTAACTCTCCGTTAGACATCTATATTAAAGGTTATAGCAAGATTGTATATACAAACTTATAGACGTCTTCCATCATTTTCCCACATTCTCCTTTGGAACCACCTAAAGCACAATGCTTTTTCTTGTGTCTCTAAACATTTTAGAACACTCACTCGAAAGTCTTTCACAAAACAATCTTTATAACTAAAATAATAAAATCGAAATTGTTTTACATGCATTTAAAAACTTTAACTAATTTTATGTATGGAGAGTTTAAATTAGTTTGTTGTTCTAAGGCAAATAGCATTGGGGGTCTGAACCACTTTACACCGTCCCCACAACGTCGAAACTAAGGGGATTCAATAGCAATTTCGCTAGTGATGCTGTTGGGAATCATGGATGGTGCTTCAATCACCGACGGGAAACCGTCGATGTCACTCACAATATATTTTTCTTTTATATTTTTACGATCAGCTTGGAGCTTGCTGCCATGTCTATCATGTAAAGCAAATTAAATGAAAATAAAAAAGAAAATAAAGCAAAACGAAATCAATTTTTTCCATTAGTGAAACTTTCTAGGTATACCTTAGGTGGCGGTGTAGGACTGTGTGGTGGTTTAGGTAACTGTGATCTTACAATGTATAAACAAAATCATCTCAACTATTGAAAACGGGAGACTTTTCCACATATCTTATGGAGGGAATTTTAAATATGTGTGAAAATAATATTACCTTAAACCCTAAAAACACACCCCCATTTAATAAAATGAGCTTTTTAAAAAAATTTTTTTTACAATTATCTATAAATGGTTAGAAAATCTTCAAT